GCCTCAACAATGAAGAATATTCAACAATTTCAAACAATGACCAAACTTCACACCTGGTACGACTTTGGTCAACATATCAGCAGGGTTATCCTTAGTGTGGACCTTCTCCAACGTGACATCACCATCATCCAATACTACCTGAATGGTCTCCTGTGCAATCCCCAAATCATCCAACAAGCCATGTAGCCACAAAGCCTCCTTCACTGCTTCAGTCACCGCCATATATTCCGCCTCTGTAGTAGAGAGCGCCACTGTAGACTGAAGAGTACATCTCCAACACATCGGTGCACTAGCCAATGTAAAAACATAACCTGTAGTGGACCGGCGCTTGTCAAGATCTTCGGCATAGTCTGAATCCACGTAACCAATACAATCCTGCACTGTCTCATCATTCTTCGCAAATATCAACCCAACATCCACGGTACCCTTAATATACCGTAGAATCCACTTCACGGCTTCCCAATGCCCCTTCCCGGGGTTGTGCATGTACCTAGATACCATGCTCACGGCCTGTGACAAATCTGGCCTCGTACACACCATAGCATACATCAAGCTACCCACCGCACTGGCATATGGAACCTTGGACATGTAGTCCCTATCCTCCACTGAAACTGGTGACATCAAAGCTGAAAGCTTAAAGTGGGGAGCTAATGGAGTACTCACCACCTTGGTATTACCCTCAAAACTGAATTTCTTCAGCATCTTCTACAAGTAACTCTTCTGTGTAAGCTTCAATCTCCCCTTCACCATGTCTCGCTCAATCTCCATACCCAATATCTTCTTAGCCTCTCCCAGGTCCTTCATCTCAAATTCAGGGCTCCTCGTGTACCCTTGGCCAATCATAAAGCTATCAAACTATCACGGTGATTGCTTTAGTCCATAAAGAGATTTCTTCAATTTGCACATCAAATTTTCCCTTCTTGCAGCTTTAAACCCCATAGGTTGTGTCATGTAGATCTCCTCATCTAAGTCTCCATGTAGAAAGGCCGTCTTCACGTCCATTTGGACCAAATCTAAGTCCAGCTGTGCCACCAATGCCAATAGTATCCGAATCGACGAATGCTTCACAACGGGTGAAAACACCTCATTGAAGTCAACGCCCTCAAGCTGTGCATATCCCTTGGCAACCAATCTGGCATTGAACCAAATGTCCCCAATAGAAGGTCCCTCCTTCTTAGCATACACCCACTTGCAACCAATAGCTTTCTTACCCTTCGGTAGCTTTGCAAGTTCTCAAGTGTCGTTCTTCTGAAGAGATTGCATCTTCTCCTCCATGGCATTCCTCCACCTAATAGAATCAGGGCTGGACTCTGCCTCCCTGAATGTGGCAGGAATCAAATCATCAACGACCTCCACCGATAAAGCATATGCCACCATGACATCATCATATCTAGCTGGCCGACGAATCTCTCTCCTCGGTCTATCTGCTGCAATGGACCCCTGAGCATGACCCTGCTCCTGAGCCTCACCATCCACTGTATCCCCTACTTGCCCGACTATCATCTCAACTCCTTCCCATGTCACCTCTGTAGGAGTCTCTATGGGAACAGTGCCAACTGGAGTGGGTGGAGTCACATCATCCTCCACCTGCTGCAATATCCCTCCTGTCTGATCTTCCTCCACCTGCTGAGTAACTCGAGGCTTCATCATATACGCCTCATCGAATGTGACATCTCTGCTAATGATTATCTTCTTGTCTTGTGGATCCCATAATTTGAAGCCTTTTACACCTTCTCTAAATCCCACAAAGATAGCCTTCCTCGCTCTCGGATTCAACTTCCCATCACTAACATGGAAATAAGCTGGACACCAAAATATCCGAAGAGTCTCATAATCACTAGCCACAGAACCAGACCAACGCTCCAAAGGAGTCTTCCCCTCTATCGCAGTGCACGGCAACCTGTTAATGAGATGGCTCGCATAAACTAACGCCTCGGCCCAAAAAGATCTAGCCAATCCACTCTGCATCATCATACATTGCACCTTCTCCAGTAAGGTACGGTTCAGCCTCTCTGCCACCCCATTCTGTTGCGGTGTCTCTCTAACTGTGAAATGTCTTCTAATGCCGTGATCCCGGCAAAACTGCAGAAATGGATCACTCTTATACTCTCCACCATTGTCTGAACGAAGAGTCTTCACCTTTCTACCTGTCTGCAGCTCCACTTTCTTCTTTCACTCCACAAATATATCCAGGACCTCATGTTTATGCTTTATAGTATATACCAAATTCCTCCTGGAATAATCATCAATGAAAGTGATGAAATAATTTGCCCCACCAAGCGATGTGTGCTTAGAAGGGCCCCAAACATTTGTGTGAATGTAGTCTAATATACCTTGGGTGTTATGAATTACGGTGCCAAACTTCACTTTAGTCTTCTTCCCAAGTATGCAATGCTCACACAGATCCATCTTGCAGGTCTTTGCACCTTTCAGTAGCCCCTGTTTCGCCAATGACTGTAGGGACTTTTCACCTGTGTGTCCAAGCCTCATGTGCCATAGTGTGGTAGTGTCCTCCTCTGTGGTAATAGAAGCTGCCAGACCCCCTGTAACTGTCTTGCCCTTCAAGTAGTATAGGTTGTTTTCCCTGACACCTCGCATCACCACCATAGAACCCTTCATGACCTTCAAACTAGCATCTTCTAAGATCACTCTATAACCGAATGCCTCCAAAGCCCCAAGAGAAATGAGGTTCTTCGTCAACTGCAGCACGAACCGCACATCTTTTAATTCCCTAGTCACCTCATCATGCATTCTGATTCTGACTGAGCCAATCCCACTAATAGGACAAACGTGATCGTTCCCCATAAGCACCACGTCTCCTCTCTTCAACTCCTCAAAGTTGGTAAACCAATCCCTCTTAGGGCAAATATGAAATGTAGCTCCCGAATCAAGCATCCACTCCGTAGAGTTGGCATAACAAACTGACGGCAGTGCGGGACAAGAATAACTAGAAGAATCTGAATCTAAAATGTCGCCAACAACCTTAGCAACATTAACCTCTGAAGCTTGTACAGCTTTCCCCCTTTGCTTCCCGGCTCTATCCTTCAACTTTGGGCACTCATTCTTCCAATGTCCCTCTTCTTTGCAAAAGGCACATTGATTTCTACCAACACTTTTATGGCCACCCCTATTCTTTGATTTTGAGCGGTTGAACTTTTGACGGTTTGGACTACGGCCTCGAACTGCAAGTGCATCACCCGATGCCTTCTCGGAGGGCTCGCAATCATTCTTCCTCAGCTCATAATTCACCAATGCCGAGGTCACCTCCTTGTAGCTAACTGTAGTTCGCCCATTAATCATAGTGAGAACAAAGGTACTAAATTCATCATCCGGCAACGAACACAATAGTAACATCGCCTTGTCTTCATCCCCCACCATGATATCAACATTGGCCATATCCGAAATTAGCTTTGTGAAGTTGTTAACATGCTCTCGAATGGAAATTCCTCTCTTCATCTTGAATTGGTAGACCCTTTTCTTCAAATGAAGCCTATTCTCAATGCTCTTTGTCAAATATTTTTCATTGAGCGTTTCCCACAATCTCTTTGCCGATGTCTCGTTCATCACATCATAAATGAGATCCGGCGTTAGGCATGACCGAATAACCCCACAAGCCCTACTGTGCATTTTCTTCCAAACCCTATCATCAATCTCCTCGGGTTTCTCTTGAAACTCAAGAGTCTCCTCCAAATTTTGTGCATCTAAGGCGTACATTACTTGACACCTCCATAAACCAAAGTTAATCTTGCCGTCGAACTTTGGGACATCAATTTTAGTGTTATTGATGCTCAAATTTTGGATCGCCTTTATCAAAGCCAACCCCGGTGTACTAGTAGCACTTGAACTAGCCCTGCTTGTATCACCCATATTATAGATCTACTCTCCCAACAAGAACCCAACAATGAATCCTTCGAATAAACTCCCAAATCCAACCCGGAGCTCTGATACCACTTGTTGTGCGCCGCGGAAGCCCCAATAGCCAAATCAAAAGCACACACAAGAACAATAGTAGACCACAATGCACACAAGCCAACCAATCACATCAAGTACACAAGATATACGTGGTTCGGCAATATGCCTATGTCCACGGGGCAAGGAGGGGGAAGCTTTACTAATGAAATCAAAGGAGAATACAAATTAGGGTTACAAATCTTGCCCAAAACCCTAAAATAAGACCACTTGATCTCTCCAATAGACTCCAACAATAGAAACCCTCTTAATCCCCTTTCAGCAGCTCAAAATCGCCCAAGCTTAACCCTAGAAACGAGTTTAGGGTTTAAATACAACTCACAACCGAAACGGGTCTGGAAACAGAACCCAACCCGAAACTGCAGCGTCGGTCGACCGGACCGGTCGACCGCGATCCATCGCGGTCGACCGACCCGGTCGACCGCCCTCCTTCCAGCAACATTCCCAGAATCCAGAGAGATTGGCGGTCGACCGGCCCGGTCGACCGCTACCATCTTCGGTCGACCGGTCCGGTCGACCGCCACCAATGCTGAAGCACAGTGAACAATGTGCACGAATGCGGTCGACCGGGCCGGTCGACCGCCACCCTGTTAGCCTGAATCTGAACTCTGTTGCTAGTTTCACATCTCATTCACCCTAGATCTTAGGATCAACCTGATTTATAGGGTAGAATCCCGAATACAAAAGAGCTCCTAAAGAAACCAGGTCCTAAACTAACCCAAATTGGGTTTTAACCCAGTTCGGACCAAGAACCGCCAGCAGCGACTCCGGCCAATGACCGCCGGCAACGCCAGGCTAAATTCCGGGGGCTGTTTGTAGCTTCTTTTTTGTTGTTTTGCTGCTGTTTAGACCTCCTTTCTTCTTTCTTCTTTTTATCTTTTTAGCGCTGAAATTCATGGATAACCCAATAATCTTAAACTAGGACAACCTTAAATGGGGTTTTTTGTGAAACTTAACTACTTTTATCTATCCTTTTTGCAAAGAGTTGTGCGAGGCTAAAAGGTAGTTATTGGTTTGACATTTTGTGGTAGGTTTGATGCTTTGATGCTATTAAGGAGTTTGAGGAATAAAAGGCTAATGTTTATTGGGGACTCTCTTCAGAGAACTCAGTGGGAGTCCATGGTTTGCCTTCTTCAATCTGTGGTGCCGGATAGGAGGAAGTCCGTGTACAAGGATCCTCCTAGAAGAATATTTTTTGTGGAGGTAGGATGCTTTTATGAAAGAATCTATTTTTGAAAAATTCATATATATTTTTAGCTCACACGTTACAATTGAAATAGTTATATAACAAATGTATTAGTGATGTTTAATGTTTGATCCAGACTTAATTATTACAGCTTAAAACTTGATCTTGCAATTATTTTTCTCAGGCTTTTCTATAAATTGTCGAGGATGTTTTCACTTACTTGGTTACATGCAAGACATTAGTCCACTTATGTCTTTTGTCTAAAAATTTTGGCTTGGGAGATGAAGTTGTTTTCTAGTTTGAATTCTCTACTTCAATTTTTTTACACAATGTGCTTAATTGAAGCCATTTACTTTGAATTCTCATTCAGGATTACAATGCCACAGTTGAGTTCTATTGGGCTCCTTTCATTGTTGAGTCCAACAGCGATCACGCCACAAAACACACTGTGCAGAAGAGGCAAGTGAGGTTGGATTCAGTCGACAAGCATAGCAAGAAGTGGGAAGGAGTAGACATCTTGGTGTTTGAGAGCTACGTGTGGTGGATGTACAAGCCTCTCATTAATGCAACGTTAGTTCATTAATCCCTTGCCTCCCGCTTCCTCTAACAATTTTTTTTTCTTTCTATACTACTGTTAGATTTAAGAGAATAATTATTAACTTTCAAATATCTTTCAGGTTTGGATCTTCTGACGTAAAAGAGTACAATATATTTGACGCCTACAAATTGGCACTAAAGACATGGGCTAATTGGCTTGAATCCACATTCAACCCCCAACTCCAGAAAGCTTTCTTCATGAGTTTATCACCAACACATCTTTGGTAATTGGATAATTTACTCATAAATACTCTTGTCAATATACCCTTTATCCATATTTAAAACTTAAGCAGCAATAAACAGGAGTTGGGAATGGAGACCAGGAAGCAAAGAGAATTGTTTCAACGAAACATATCCAATACAAAGACCGTTTTGGGGCGCAGGATCAAGTCTTGAGATGGCAGGGACATTGAAAGATACGTTGCAAGGAATGAAGGCGAAGGTGACACTTCTCAACATTACACAGTTGTCTGAGTACAGGAAAGATGGGCATACGTCTGTTTATACAGAGAGAAGAGGGAAGTTGTTGACAAGCAAGGAGAAGTCCCAACCGGATATTTACGCTGACTGTATCCATTGGTGTTTGCCTGGCGTCCCAGATACATGGAACGAGATTTTGTATGCTTATTTGGTATATGAAAACTGATGCAGAACAGCTAATGATCTAAATCCTACAGAAGATTTGATTAGAGTTTTATTATTAGTTTTGATTTGTTAGAGATAAAGATAATTTTTCAAGTTAGTTAGGATATTCTATTTCCAGATTTTAAAAGACTTTTCTATTGAGGCTTAAGTTGTCTAGATTTATTATAAAAGCCTCTTGCTTTCTTCTTGTATGGAAGGATATGGTCAATAAAAGGAAAATGGCAATTCTTTTATGTGATATCAAGGTTATGTTGTCCGTGTGATGCCTTCACAACTAGGTGTCTGGGGAGAGTCATTATATCTAGAGCTTATGAATTTCGTTTACTGACACTCCTCATGTACCTTGGTGCATACCATGTGGGGAAGATAAAGTATCCCACAGCATGCTTATATATTGTGGCTTGCACTTCAGCAAGTGCTTTTGCAAGTGCTTTTGATTCCAAGACAGGTTGCAAATCTTGTGATAGCTAGCAGCAAATCTTGCGTGGAATGATGTGACGAAGTGGTTGGGATTTAGAATATGGAGATCTGTGGAATGTCAGTTGATGTAGTAGTGCACCTTAAATTGGAATGGAGGCTCTTATAATGAAAGAGTGAAAATGGCTGCCTTGAGGAACTGTAGGCTTCATATTAGGGATACATGCGGTTTGGACACGGCTCGGATATGATACTTACCAGATTCATATCTGCTTATCAATCACGGATGTGGATACGGATATGAATATGCCTCGGTAAGGAAAACTCGTATCCGTATCTATTGAAACTGGATATGGATACAAATATAAATACGGATATATATATGCGAATATATGTGCAAATACAAACAGATATGAGATAACCGGATAATATAGGATAAATTAAAAAATAGTTTCTATGACCAAGAGAGTTCATTAACGTGCTTACTTTATTTGAAAAGCTAAGATTAGATATCTTGATTATTAAAACTAGTCTCAAAAGCATTAATCTAAGTATTAAAACAACTGTAGTTGTATGATCAACATATATTCAAATACGGGTCCGAATATTTCACTATAAAACTATATCCGTAATCATATCATATGGATTATATATTTTAATAACCATACTCGTATCCTAAGGATACCGTGAGAGTGACTTGAATAAGTCAACAAAGGCGGCCTTCTAATCTTGCGGCACCACTTTGTCAATTTTTTCAACTCTCTTAAGCCTAGCTCAACCTTAGCTCCTCTGTTTCACCTACCAAGTTGTCTCCCTCATTTGCCTATAAAAAGAATTGTGAAATATGAGGAAATGATATCAGGACAGAGAGGAGTTTTAGAGAAGAGAGAGATAGAAAGAATTAATTTATATAGAAAATTAATTTTTTTTCTATGTGTGATTCTCTGGTGAGGTTAGAGAGTGATTTTATTTGTAATCTTCTATTTTGTGATTAGTGAATTTCTCTGCTATTCTCGCCCGTGAACGTAGGTCACACTGATCGAACCACGTTAAATCCTTGTGTATTGTTCTCTTCGTCTTCAATGTGTTTATTTAGTATTGTTATTATCCACTTTTGTATAGACATCTTCTGTGTCTATGAAGCCACCCGCTACAATAAATTGGTATCAGAGCCTGACTTAGAGTGCGTATATCTGCTTATCGTATGCTCTGTGGCTGCCACTAAAAGTGGATCTTCCTCATCAGAAAATAAGTTAGATTATCATATACTTTTTAAAGGCACTGGACACTATTTACGAGTATGACACTATTCATAAGTATTATTACTATTCACAAGTACGATTATTGTTCACAAGTACGATTACTGGTGATGAGTAAAAATGAGGGCTCTCTTAGTACAACAAGGACTATTTAAAGTCTTTTCTGGAAAGGATAAGTTGCTAAAATCTATGCCCGATGATGAGAAAGAAGAGCTGGAGATGAAAGCGCATAATGCCATTCAACTCTGTTTGACCGATGAGGTCCTGTGGGAGGTTTCCAATGAAGATACTATCATCAGCTTGTGTCTCAAGTTAGAGAGCTTGTACATGACAAAATCTCTAACGAACAAGCTCTACTTGAAGCAACGCCTCTTCACCATTCGCATGAAGGAAGGTATACAGATTAAAGACCATTTAGATGAACTTAACACTATTCTTATGGATTTAAAGAATATTGATATTAAAATTAATGAATAAGATCAAGCCATTATTTTGTTATGTTCATTACCTCATTACTATGAGAATTTTGTTAATAGCATACTATACGGTAGAGTACACTTTCTTTGGAGGATGTTAAATCAGCCTTACATTCAAAAGAGTTAAGGCAGAAAGTGTCTGTCGTAGGAGGAGAGGATCAAGCTGAAAGCTTATTAGCTCGTGGTCATCCTAAAAAAGATGTTGGTGGTAGAGGCAAATTTATAAATATGTCTAGATCAAAGTCCATGCCAAGAAAAAAATATTGAATATTATTAATGTCACAAGTATGGCCATATAAAACCTAATTGTTCAGCGCTCAAAGCAAAGGATAATTCACAGTCGAAGTCTGGGGAGGTGAAATCTTCAGTTGCCACTATAACTGAAGAGTCTTTTAATTCACATGAAGTTCTTTAATTTAGTGTTAATACTCATTCACAAGAGGAGTGGGTTCTTGATTCGGGTTGTTCCTACCATATGTGTCCACATAGGGGTTGGTTTGTCACATATCAGTTTATCGATGGTGGGAATGAATTATTGGAAAATGACATTCCTTGCAAGATTGTTAGTAGCAGATCAATTAAGATTAGAATCCATAATGGTATTGTTAGAACATTGAGTAATGTCCGACATACACCAGAGTTAAAGAAGAACCTCATTTCTTTAGGCACAATTAACTCAAATAATTTTATATTTTTGGCTGAAGGTGGAGTTTTGAGAGTTAGTAAAGGCTCTCTTATTGTGATGAAAGGAAAGAAGGTAAATACGCTCTATGTCCTTGAAGGCAGCACAGTGACAGGTGCTGCAGCAATATCATCCTCAGAGTATTCAGATTCTGACACCACACGTTTGTGGCGTATGTGATTAGGGCATATGAGTGAGAGAAGACTAGACGTATTAAGTAAACAAGGTCTGTTTTGTGATCAGAAAACCAGTAACCTAGACTTTTGTGAGCATTGTATTTTCGGCAAACACCGTAGAGTCTCCTTTAGTATTGGTTGTTTGCGTCAAAAATCATTTTTATTGTTAAATTCATTATAATTGTTTATCAATTACAGATTCAAGAGGATTAATCTTTTTATAAGATCTCTTGTTACAATGAAAAAAACTAATGAGATCTCCTAGAAACATATGCGGAGATCGTTTATCAATCTGTGCTTGCAAGGGATCTTTACCTGTGCCGATGATGCTTTGATCCATGAATTACCGAACAATAGATTGAGTTGATCTAAAAGAAGGCTCGGTGTTCTTTGTTTCAATAAGGAAACATAGAACAGAAGTTAATAACCTCAATAAAGTGAGATTACCACTCTTCTCAAGATCAAAACAGGGTCTGATCTCAAGAAAACGGGTGAAAGGTTATGGATCTCTCGAAATTCTCCTTTTATGTTCAGAAAATAGCCAAGACCTCACCTCTCTCTCTCTGTAAATCGTGGCTCTGCTTTGTAAAACGTGGGTTCTCTCGCACATTCGTCAGTCAACGGTCAATACCCTTCACGAATGCATGAAGGAGGATATTTATAGGGCTTGAAAGCCATGTTTACGGATAAGATTTTGTGATTTGGCCTTATCTTCCGTTATAACGACTTCACCATGTTCAGGGATAACCCAAGGTAGTTAAGAGGCCGTTGGAATCAATGAATCACGAGAAACTTATCAAAAAATGCATCATCGGGAGGCTGACCGGGCGAGACAACATGTGTGTGTGAGACACATCATTGTGTCTCGCCGGCAAAACACCTTGAAGTGTCTCACGTGTGAGACACATTGAATTGTCTCACAGGTGAGACACTTTGAAGTGTCTCGTAGGTGAGACACATTGGCGGTGTTTTGTTCTGCTATTTTATCGATTTTCGATCTTCTTTGTTTTGTTGATTCGTCATTTCGCGCTTTCCTTCGCATGTTTCTTTGCTTCCTTTTGGCATCAGATGAACTTCTTTGAATTGGACATCAATGTTCATTATCTTCTTTTCATCTCGAGCTACGTGGGGGAACCTATAGGCAAATTTTGACGCCTACACCGATGTCCACAGAAACAATGCTACTTTAGATTATATTCATTCAGATATTTGGGGTCCCTCTCAGGTTCCATCGAAAGGTGGACCTTGATTTCTACTAACACCGATTGATGATTATTTTAGAAAAGTTTGGGTGTATTGATGTAGGATGCTTAATCTGAGTTGGAGTCTATTTAGATTAGGAAATATAGATTAGGAAATAAATCCAATTTTAGAGTCAAATTAGATTAGGAAACAAATTTAATTTTGATTTATGATTTGTTTCCTCTATTATAGGGAGTCCTTTTTTGGATAGAATTTGATACTTTCTATTTCTTTGTAATTCTAGTCTTACTAAGAGTCTTATTTGTTTTTCTATATAAGAAGAGTCATGTAACCCCAAAGGGAGAATAATAACTTTTCATCAATAAAATTTCTCTTTTACAATATTTTCTTCGTGGATTCGAAGTTCTTCATGGATTCAAAGATCGTTCTTTATGGATTCAGATAACATCCGTGGTGAATTCTAAGGTTATCATTTCCACGCTGCGTTAATTGGTATCAGAGTCTTGTTCCTCTGATCCGATGGTAGGTGATTGTGCCCCTATTTCTCGAACTGAGTTCGACATGCTAAAGACCGATGTTAATCAGATGAAGACTGTCATGGAGCAACTTGCGGTAGCAGTTGAGCGTCTGAACATGGTGGGAGTTCAAAATCACGTTGATGGTCGCCAACGACGTGATCCGACTCCACTAACTTCATATGATGAATCTGACAACGAAGAAGATAACTATGTAGCCCCACACCGTGGTGTTTATCACAGAGACCGTCGACGAAGGGAAAATTATGACGCTGGAGGTTTCAAGATGAAGATGGATCTGCTATCTTTCAACGGGCAACTTCGTATCGAAGAATTCCTCGACTGGATTGCAGAAATAGAGAGGTTCTTTGAGTATATGGAGATCCCAGAAGAGCGTAAGGTAAAATTAGTGGCCTACCGACTCAAAGGTGGAGCTTCAGCTTGGTGAGAATTTGTTTCTTTGAATCGATCTCGTCAAGGTAAACCGAAGGTCAAAAGGTGGGAA